ACAGGCCACAGTCCACTCCAGTGTTACCAATCCCAAGGCTCTGTCGGAGCCTGAGGCAATAGTCCAGAGGCCACAGTCCACTCCAGTGTTACCAATCCCAAGGCCTTAGTTGGAGCCTGAGGCACAGGCCACAGTCCACTCCAGTGTTACCAATCCCAAGGCCTCCTGAGGACACACACTTCTTTCTGTTCCCTCCACTCTCCCTTCTAGCCCGGCTCCCAGCCTCTCAAAGCATAAGAGGATGAAAGAGTATTATAGAGGAATGAAAAGGTATTTTAGAGGAACTCGCCCTTATCTTTCTGTGTAGAAGTCGTTTGAGGAGGCTGGGACCCCTGAATCATTCTAAACCCTCATCCCTAAAGCCCAGGGTGGGGCTTGCATCTGCCATCCTGGGCCTGAGCCCTAAGCCCATTCTGGCTGGTTGTGAATGCTAGCAGTTGTTCACTGAGAAATGCCCTCGGGAGCCCCTTCTTGCCATAGTATCATCACTTTTTAAGGTTTACAAAGCCCCTTTACACATCTGTGAACCTCATCAGACCTGGCTAGGACTGTCCCCACCCTTGAGTAGTTGGTGGGTGCCACTGAGTCGATTCTGACTCGTGACAGCCCCAGCTGTGCGAAGCAGAACTGCTCCACAGGTTTTTCAAGGCTGTGACCACCAGGCCTGTCTTCCAAGGCATCCCTGGGTGGGTATGAACTGCCAGTCTCTTGGGCTGCAGCCAAATCTTAACCATACACCACCAAGGCTCCTTCTACTCTTGTGAGCAGAGGAAATGCAACCTCAGCAGGGTCTGTGCCTTACCTAGGGTGACAGAGCCAGCCACGGTGAAGCTGGGCTTTAAACATGAGCCCCTGCATTTACACTAGGTCTTTCTTGGACCTCGATGATGTCACTGGAGTAATGGAGCTCCCCGAGGAGGTATGCACACAGCCACTGGAGAGGGAGAAACTCCTACCTGAGAAAGATCCCCTTGAGGTTGGGTGTGGAGTCAAAGGCATTGGCGGGCACCGTGGTAATCTTGTTGTTCTGCAGGTACAAGTACTCCAGTGACTCGGGGAGCCCCTCCGGGATGTCTGTGAGCTGATTCCCAGCGATGTCCAGCAGCTGTGGGGTTGACCAGGGAGTGTAGGGGTCAGGGATTCCCACTTGTGCAAAACACTTAACAGCTTGCAAAGCTCCCAACAACCCTTATCTTAGAAGAGGAGTTGATGTTGTTTGTTGTTGTTGTTGTTATGTGCTGTCAAGTCACTTGCAACTCATAGCAACCCTATGTAGCAAAACAGCCCTGAAACCTGCTCTATCCTGTACCAACTTTACTGTCTCTGACACATCATTACCCCAGTCACTGAATCAATCCATCTCCTCGAGGGTCTTCCTTTCTCTGTCCCTCCACCCTTTCAAGCATGAGGGCCCTCTCCAAGGATAGGTCCCTCTTGCAACATGTCCAAAGTATGTCAGACAAAGCCTCAGAATCCTTGCCTCCAAGGAGCAGCCTGCTTTCACCCTCTCTAGGCTGAACCTGTTTGTTCTCCTGGCAGTCTATGGTGTATATTCAACACTCTTCTGCAGCACCACAGCTCAAAGGCATCAATTCTCTTTCTATCGTCCCTAGTATAATTACCCCATTTTCCAGACATGGAAACAGTCTCAGAGATGTCAAGTGATTTGTCCAAAGCCACACAGCATGTAAGACGCTAGATACCAGTGTATCTGACCTTTGTTCCTAACTGATGTGTTTCTACCCAGATTCTCATGTTTGCAGACACAAATTCACAGCCAGCCAGAATGACCCCAGATGGGGTGGAGGGTCCCCCAGTCTCTGAATCTCATGCCCACTGGCTCTGGATGTGGGGACCACATGAGTGGGATTGTTCACTTGAGTAGTCCTGTGGGCTCATGGGCGGCAAAGTAAGGGTGTGAGGCTCGCAATAACCCTAGTGTCACAGCCAGGACAGAGGTTCAGTCCCAGAGTCACCTCACCCCCACAGTCCAGGAGCCAGGTGGAGAGCAGGACAGCCCAGTAGCAGGCAGAACACCTGATTGTGCTGCGACCTCGTAACTCCCTGGCAGTCGGCACTGCCCCACAGCCACACGCACAGTGTGGCCGAGGACAGGCTCTGTGCTCTCTAACTCCCCTTCCTCATCCTGACCCGCTGTGCTCAGCCAGAAAACTGTCAGTGTCAGGCCGTTGACATTGGGACCCCAGGGTTCCCTTGCCCAGGAGTGGCCCTATCACCTCACCTTCCTACCAGCGTTCTGGCTTCCTGAACTCTGGGTTTCTGGGTTCCATGGCACTTGGGGGTCCCCACACTTCTACGTCAGCACCTCTACATTCCATTCAGAACATCCTAGTGCTCAGGGTGGGTGCAGGAGCCATGGACTCACTGAGGCTCCCCTCCACCTTGGTTGGTGGGAGAGACTGATACAAAATTCAACCCTGCCAGCCCAGTGGGATGTGTTTACAATGAGGGTGCCGTGGGAAAGTGGGAGGAGACTAGGCTGGAGGAGTAGGGAATGCTTAGCAGTTGAGGTGACCCTTGAGCAGGTGAGGGGCTATAGGTAGGGACTCTGAAGCAGAGGGAAGAATTTCTGTAGAAAGATCCATCAGTGTTAGGAAGTACTCATTTTCCCACTAGACCCCACTTCCCTGACCCAGGGCATCCAGGCCCAGGGAGCAGTTACCCTTCACCACTGTTTTAAGGAAGAGGTCTCTGATAGGAGACAGCATTGAGCTGAGTTTAAAATATAAGCCCCACGTGGGTGTATGACCTTCTATTCTGTTTACTACCTTCACCTATTCTGTTCCTACTGCGTCCTTTGTCTGGAGCCATGTCCGGCACAAAGTAGGGGCTCCATACAGGTACCTAGAACGAACAGATGAGGAGGCATCACCAGTGAAGGAGGGGGAAGGCGTTTCTAGCAAAGAGGCCAGTGTGAGCAAAACCCAGTGCATCTGGGAAGCTGTGAGAGGCTCGGCTGGTGGAAGCAGGGACAGAACTGATGGTGTTCTAACGACGGTGAGGAGTCGTGAAGGGTGCTGTGCAGCAGTGTAAGATGGGCAAGTGCTTTTCAAAGTAGCTCGGATTACATACAGTGTGCTGAAGCAGAGAGGTCCTAGGAGGGGAGAGTTAGCAAGAAACAGGGTGGCTAAGCCTTGGGGTGAGGGGGCTGGATAAACAGCCTAATGGAGACGTGATGGCAAATTTGACAAAGTTTGGTGATGACGGTCCACTGGGGGCAGGTGACAGTGTGACAGAGTGGAGACTTTAAGAGCAGCTCCCAGGTTTCCTGCGGGCACCTGAACAGATGGTATAATGGATGGGATCTTCAGTGAGTTAGAAAACACAGCAGGAGGTGCAGATATAAAGCAGAAGACAAGAGTGTTTGGGGGCCTTTGAGAGTCAGCTGGGGGTGCACAAAGTTTGGAGGATGGAAGACCCTGAGAGTTGCTTCCAAAGACAGGGGAGGAAATGAACTTTCCAAAAACCAGCCACTGAAAACCCTACAGAGCACACAGTCCTACGCTGACCCACATGAGCTTGTGTGTGTTGGAGTTGACACAACTGCAACTGATTCCCTGGAGAACAGGCATTGGTGGCTAGAAACTGGTGTGCATTCAGTAGGGAGGTTTGAGTGAGAGCAGGAAGCTAAGCCAGGTGCTTCTGCAGGGTCGCTCCCAGGGAGACCGACGCCACCCTCAAAGCTCTGACCTGCCTCCCTGCTCCTCTGCACCTCCACCATCCCAGTCATGACCCTGATCCTGACAGCTCCCAGGTTCAAAGCACTCATTCAGCCAGCCCGTCACATGGAGCCCACCACATGCAGGATGGTGGGTCCAACGAAGGTGAAGGACCTGGCAAGTGAAGGCTATTAGCTGAGTACAGCCAGCATGATGAGGCCCAGCTCATGCTTACAGGCTTGAGGCATACTCCAGGGTGAGGGTGGAGTTGGTGGGCCATGGTTTATGAGGACAAGGGGCAGTTCAGATGTCACAGGAACATCGAGCTCACCCACTTGCTGATGTAGGGATGGGTCCCTGGAGAAGGCTTGGAAGGAGCAGGGCCCATGCTCACCGGTTTGGAAAGTGCCAGACTGAGGTTTGAGGTTCTATTCAGGGCTTCTACGCTGATGTCGTTAGAGGCCATGGTTGCTGTGACCATGCTCAGAGGCAGGTGGGGATGTCTGAGTATGTGAACTGAGAGCCTCTTTAAGATGAAACCACCCAACTCAAAAAGTGTAGACTCCTACACACTACAAACCTGGGGGGTGGGGGGAACGACTGGAATGTCTTCCCAGTAGAGCCCTGTCTTGCCTGGTCCTTCACCTTTGTACATGAGGGTGGTCTGGACTGGTCTAGAAAATGCTGTGAGTGGTCCAGCATCCCCCTACCAGGAGTTAGCAACCAGCACTTGCAAGTGAACCAGCTCAGCTTGACCCTATCAGCTGAACTCCCCTCATGGCTCAGTCCTCTGCCTCACCCCTCTCCCAACAGGTGGCTGCCATGGTCCCTGAACCCACGGGGGCCCACTTCCTGCCCCTTTCCCTACCTGCAGTTTGTCAAGGTCCACCCAGGCTCGTGGGCCCAGCGCCCGACTGCGCAGCCGGTTGCCCGTGAGGTAGAGCTCACGGAGCTGGGCCATGCCGGCCAGCGCCCCTCGCGCCAGCGCCACCAGCTCATTGCGCTTGACCTTCAGCACGTGCACGTTGCGCGGCAGGCCAGGAGGCAGTGTGTGCAGCCGGTTCCCGGACAGGTCCAAGGAGCGCAGCAGGCGCAGCTTGCGGAAGGCGTCGCGGTGCACCTGCGGGCTGGTGATGCGATTGTAGCTGAGGTTGAGCTCCTCCAGGAAGTAAGTGGTGGCGAAGTCGTCGCGGCCGATGCCCGTGATCTGGTTGTGCAGGATCATGAGCGTGCGCACGCGGCGCGGCAGGCTGCTGGGCACGCGCTCCAGCGCGTTGTTGTACAGATGCACCGTGTGCAGCTTCTTGAGGCCCTGGAAGGCCTGCGGGTGGATGCCGTGAGCCCGCAGCTGGTTACTGTGCAGCAGCAGGTACTCGAGGCTGCGGATGGGGGTCAGCACGTCCGCGTCCACGCTCTGGATGGCGTTCTTTTCCAGGTGCAGCAGCACCAGGCTGCGGGGCAGCCCCGCAGGGACGCGGGACAGGTTGTTGCTGGACAGATCCAGGTACTCCAGGCTGGAAAGCTTCCTGGGGGAGGGAGGGCATTAGGCTGGTCGATAGGGGCCCACACTGCACTTGATTCCACAGTTTCCCCACAGGGAACTGGTACAGGAACCACCTAAATTCATCCCAGCTCATCTGATAGTCACGGATTGGGGTTGGGATGGGGGTCCTCGCCAGCCTGTTTTCACACTGGGTTGATTCAATATACTGGTTTAGAAAGATTCTAGAAGCTTAGGCAAATAAGAGTTTGTTTGAAGTGTTGTTTGACTAACACGTTCCCTGAGTCCTACAAAATTAAGATATATTTGCTTTCAATAAGAAAGCTCATGTTTTCCTTTCATACTATGAGGCCAGTCTCGCCTCCTTGCTTTGGTGGCCTCACCTATGCCCATTACAGAGCCTCTGGCAGCATCATCAGTAGACTTGTGCTTCTAATTCAAATGCTGGGCCCCTGTGGTGGTTCAAATACACCAG